TAGAAATATATCGAGAGTACCATAGCTTTTTTAACCTTCCTGAAAGCGCGTTCATCTTACTGTGTGTAAATATCGATGTTTTTCCCCATGTAAAAAACACTGTGTAGCAAACGAAGAAAAGAAATTATGACCCGTAAAAATACAATTAATCGCACGTTAAAATTAATGCTCACTTTGTGCGGTATATGGCCGGGCACGTCGTGCGTTATAATCTGTAGAGCATATTGGATCATTGCATTAACGATAGATATTATCTGCCATTATCGGTATCTTCTGCTGCATTTGCACTCGAGCAATCTCTTCGACTTGATGGATTGTTTCAGTAGCTTCCTGACTCAAGTGAAGTTTATGACTAAGTTGATTATATTTTGGCTGAATGAACAGTGAGTCATATAGCGTGAGTCATATATAAAATAATGTTATAAAAAATAATAATCTGGATACATGTTATTATTGTTAAATCGGTTTCATTATTTTCATGGAATATATATCTTTCCACATACTCGCTGCACAATCAACTATTTACATGCGCGAGCAAATAAATAAAATATATTTAACAATTTTATTTCGAACACGGGAAGATAAGAAAAATCGAAATTTGTTTAAGGAAAATAAAGCAAACGTTAACGCGTGTCATTATACTTGCTTTACAATTCGTTCAGATTAATTCTTCAGACACGCTAGTTTCTGCGGTGCAAGAGATATTACGATTTCCTTCATAACTGGCAATAATCGATAATTCCATTATCGTTTATAGAAAATTCGCCGAGATTTTGACGATAATGGCGGAAGACTGGAACGATTGCAGCAACAACAACATTAATATGCGCGAAACAACGTGCAAGGCTAAATTAGCAGGTCGTATCACTAATGCGATGTTCACACTTCACACCTTAACGATCGTTGGGTATAGCATCGGCATTTTTTTGGCCGACGTCGACGTCACCGATCATCACTCCGAACTACCTCTCCTCTTAAAAGTGACGCTTCCTGTCGACATAAAGACAAAGCGCGAGTACAAAATGCTGTTATCTGCACAATTTATCCATCTCATCCTGTCCGGCTGTGGAACTGGTTTACTAAATGCTCTGCTTTTAACTTTGGTAAGTTGTAATGCACGCGTGAGCATGTATTATAAACAATACACAATTATGAGAAAATGTCTTGTAATATTTGTTCTCATTGTCTACATATGTGTCATTCCTGAAATTTTAGTCGATTTAATAGATAATGGAATTATTATTTTCAGGTTTTACACACAGGCGGCCAAATAGACATCCTGCGTTGCTGGTTGAATGAGATTGTAACCAAAGGAAACGAAGAAGGAAGCGAAACTGTCATCACGACAAGTAAAATCATTCGAAAGCATCAAAGAATCATCAACTTCGCGGAATACATCGAGAATATGTACACGTATATCGCGTTGTTGCAATTCACGTTAAACACTGTGCTGATTTGCTCGTTGGGGTTCCTTATTGTAACCGTGAGTAAAAAGAAATGTTTCGTATTCATGGGGGAATAGATACTTATAATTTTATAAGATCGCTATGGCTTTCGGCTCTCTATGGGTTACATTTTTATTATCTAAAAATAATTTCTTTGGATTTTCAAGTGTAAGGCAATAGAGACATTTATGATTTTGCAAACAATAATGACTGCTTAATAATTGCTCGCATGCTGCTTTGATATCGCAGGCGATTGGCAGTCCCGATGCGACGAAACAGATAGTGAGAACTCTCTTATTTTACACTGTGACAAATCTTGAAGCGTTTATATTTTGCTTTGCAGGAGAATATTTGAAAAACAAGGTTAGATACGCGGGACAATGCAACGATGATCGATAATGCATTATTGCGATTTTGTCAAATTACAAGAAACATTTTGTCTGTTTCTTAATCATTTTTACCTTTATAGAGCAAAGCTATTGGAAATGCAGCGTACTATTCTGCATGGTATAAAATGAAACCTAAGAATAGTCGTAATATAATATTCGTCATATTAAGAGCGCAGAAGCAATTGACGCTTACAGTTGGAAAAATAATGGATCTTTCTTTAGAATCGTTTACAGACGTAAGATTTACACATAGAAAAATAATTATGGACAATAATACATAACAAGATATACTCGTAACAAGATATTTTCTACACGAGATTTACTTATTATCTATATAATCTTTTCATATCCATCTGTTACGTAAATGTTATGTGAATTTTTTATAGCAATATTTTTATATAAAACTCTTTTTCTGTAATAAGATCATTATTTAAAAAATATTAATCTCTAATACAAAGAGCGCATATTTTATTATAGATCATGAAAGCTTCGGGATCATATTTGTCAGTATTGTTGGCCATGCAATGAACATCGTGCGTTTATAGATTTTTAAACAATAATCGAAGCATGTATCGTGTAATATGTCTACATTAGTGATAGAAACATGCATAACGACACAATATATTTTTCATGTTTGAATATGTTCTAAAAAGACGATAGTAATTTTTAGAAAAATATAAAATGATAAGATGTTACTTCTTGTTTACGTCACGGTACATTTTAATTAAATCCAATATTTCCCATAGGAATCATCTTTGTATAATGTATAAGATAGACAAATTGGTCTTGCGGCGTATAATTCTGCATGATACAATTTAAAATCTAAAGACAGTTATACCATTTAATTATCCAATTTACTTATGAATTGTCCACATTAGATGCAAGAATCTGTAATATCGACCAAATATTAAAATTACATGTCATATCGTATCTTTTCTTTCAATTAATTTACACGGATTACAGCAGGTCGTTTCACGCACTTTCACATTCAAATTTATGCACTTGTAATTTTCTTTTCATATTTTTCTCTAAAACACAAATATTTCGTTATAACACAAGTTTACTTTTAATTATTACAAGCAAAACAACGTAATACCGCGCTCAGTTGTGTATTCGTTCTTTCTGTCTCTTTATTACCTATACTTTGATATTTCACTGAAGAGCCGTGAACACGACTGAACATCGGACATACATCATTTCCACCACTGCACGAATCATTGCATATTTAAAGTAAACAATTTGCGACTGTATTTCCAGCAGTCGAGGAAAAGAAAAATGATTATATTTCCTTGTCATGCATCAAACCACAATGCGAAAAAGCACACTGTATTTGCGATATGTGCACGCAGTAGGATAAAAATAATTAATGAGAAACATCAATTACGTATGTGTATATGTGTGTGTGTGTGTATATGATCAATTGCTAATAGCTAAACCTCGAAGACCTCTTAGGGCGCAGAGTTTCTAATCCTCTTCGCGGAGATATTCTACGACATACGTAAAACTGTCATCAAAAACGTATACTTGAGCAGAGCATATTTCTTTTATCTTTCCGAGAATTTTTATTCCGTTAAATATACACATCAATGGACTCGCTTATACGTAGAAAGCAGGCAAAAATAACAAAAAATGGCTCGGAAGAGTATGTTTAATCGCACATTGAAATTTATGCTTACTTTGTGTGGTGTTTGGCCAGGCGTACCGTACATAGTGCTTTGCAGAATATGTTGGATCATTACAGTGACATTTATTCTATTCTGTCACTATCGCTACTTTCTCACACATGTGTATTCTGCCGAACTTTTGGACTTGATGGACTGCATGTCTAGTTTCCTTGCATATTCCAAAGTGATTATTAAGTTTTTTGTGTTTTGGTTCCATCAGAATAATATATGCTAAGAGAATAATATATGCGATATTTTTCCGTAAAATTTATGATACATATTTTTCTTTTGAATTGTAGGTAAAAAAAACGTGATATTCTTTTTTGTTTGTACAAATGCTGATTGAAAATAATATTTTTGAGACTTCTGTTAAAGGCACATAATTTCTCTATCTTAAAAAGAAATATTTTCTGCACATATGAACGTTGACATCACATTATTTCACGTGCATTTTCACTTATTAATTTCTCATAAATATGGCTGATAAATTTTGAAATATTGTATCCAAGAAAACTTCCGTAATATCACGCATTTAGATCACGTCTGATTGCTTCTGACTCTTAAATTTTGCTGAAATACGAGTGACTAGCGGACGTACATGATCGCATTTACCTTTGCACAAATCATATCATTGCATATTTAAAACAAGCGATTGCACGATTGCGTTAGTAATTCCCAAGGCAAGAAGAAATGGCTCTATACGCTCCCTCTTTTTCTTGCATCGAAGAGGCCGATTTGTGAAGAGCGTATTCGTGAGCTCTATACGCAATACGATAAAAAATATTTAATGAGTTACTACTGTTAAATATTTAATGAATTACTACTATTGGTCAATCGCTCTAAGGGAGAACTCATTTGATGATCTCTTGAGAACTTCCCACAGTCCTTCCGCAGTCGTTCTGGAATATACATCGAGTTGGAAATATATCGAGAGTATCATAGCTTTTTTAACCTTCCTGAAAGCGCGTTCATCTTACTGTGTGTAAATATCGATGTTTTTCCCCATGTAAAAAACACTGTGTAGCAAACGAAGAAAAGAAATTATGACCCGTAAAAATACAATTAATCGCACGTTAAAATTAATGCTCACTTTGTGCGGTATATGGCCGGGCACGTCGTGCGTTATAATCTGTAGAGCATATTGGATCATTGCATTAACGATAGATAATATCTGCCATTATCGGTATCTTCTGCTGCATTTGCACTCGAGCAATCTCTTCGACTTGATGGATTGTTTCAGTAGCTTCCTGACTCAAGTGAAGTTTATGACTAAGTTGATTATATTTTGGCTGAATGAACAGTGAGTCATATAGCGTGAGTCATATATAAAATAATGTTATAAAAAATAATAATCTGAATACATGTTATTATTGTTGAATTGGTTTATTTTCGTGGAATATATATCTTTCCACATACTCGCTGCACCATCAACTATTTACATGCGCGAGCAAATAAATAAAACATATTTAACGATTTTATTTCAAACACGGAAAGATGAGAAAAATCGAAATTTATTTAAGGAAAATAAAGCAGACGTTAACGCGTGTCATTATACTTGCTTTACAATTCGTTCAGATTAATTCTTCAGACACGCTAGTTTCTGCGGCGCAAGAAATATTACGATTTCCTTCATAACTGGCAATAATCGATAATTCCATTATCGTCTATAGAAAATTCGCCGAGGTTTTGATAATAATGGCGGAAGACTGGAACGATTGCTGCAACAACAACATTAATATGCGCGAAACAACGTGCAAGGCTAAATTAGCAGGTCGTATCACTAATGCGCTATTCACACTTCACACGTTAACGGTCATTGGATATAGCATCGGCATTTTTTTGGCCGACGTCGACGTCACCGATCATCAGTCCGAACTACCTCTTCTCTTAAGAGTGGTACTTCCTGTCGACATAAAGACAAAGTGCAGGTACAAAATGCTATTATCTGCACAATTTATCCATCTCATCCTGATCGCCTGTGGAACTGGTTTAATAAATGCTCTGCTTTTAACTTTGGTAAGTTGTAATGCACGCGTGAGCATGTATTATGAACAATACACAATTATAAGAAAATGTCTTGTAATATTTGTTCTCATTGTCTACATAGTCATTCCTGAAATTTTAGTCGATTTAATAGATAATGGAATTATTATTTTCAGGTTTTACACACAGGCGGCCAAATAAACATCCTGCGTTGCTGGTTGAATGAGCTTGTAACTAAAGAAAACGAAGATGGAGGCGAAATTGTCGTCACGACGAGTAAAATCATTCGAAAGCATCAAAGAATCATCAACTTCGCGGAATACATCGAGAATATGTACACGTATATCGCCTTGTTGCAATTCATATTAAACACTGTGCTGATTTGCTCGTTGGGATTCCTTATTGTAACCGTGAGTAAAAAGAAATGTTTCGTATTCATGGGGGAATAGATACTTATAATTTTATAAGATCGCTATGGCTTTCGACTCTCTATGGCTTACATTTTCATTATCTAAAAATAATTTCTTTGGATTTTCAAGTATAAGACGATAGAGACATTTATGATTTTACAAACAATAATGACTACTTAATAATTGCTCGCATGCTACTTTGATATCGCAGGCGATTGGCAGTCCCGATGCGACAAAGCAGATAGGGAGAACCCTCTTATTTTACACTGTGACAAATCTCGAAGCGTTTATATTTTGCTTTGCAGGAGAATATTTGAAAAACAAGGTTAGATACGCGGGACAATGCAACGATGATCGATAATGCATTATTGCGATTTTGTCAAATTAAAAGAAACATTTTGGCTGCTTCTTAATCATTTTTACCTTTATAGAGCAAAGCTATTGGAAATGCAGCATACTATTCTGCATGGTATAAAATGAAACCTAAAAGTAGTCGTAATTTAATATTCGTCATTTTAAGAGCGCAGAAGCAATTGACGCTTACAGTTGGAAAAATAATGGATCTTTCTTTAGAATCGTTTACAGACGTAAGATTTACACATAGAAAAATAATTATAGACAATAATATATAACAAGATATACTCGTATCAAAATATTTTCTACACGAGATTTACTTATTATCTATATAATCTTTTCATATCCATCTGTTACGTAAATGTTATGTGAATTTTTTATAGCAATATTTTTATATAAAACTCTTTTTCTGTAATAAGATCATTATTTAAAAAATATTAATCTCTAATACAAAGAGCGCATATTTTATTATAGATCATGAAAGCTTCGGGATCATATTTGTCAGTATTGTTGGCCATGCAATGAACATCGTGCGTTTATAGATTTTTAAACAATAATCGTGAAGCATGTATCGTGTAATATGTCTACATTAGTGATAGAAACATGCATAACGACACAATATATTTTTCATGTTTGAATATGTTCTAAAAAGACGATAGTAATTTTTAGAAAAATATAAAATGATAAGATGTTACTTCTTGTTTACGTCACGGTACATTTTAATTAAATCCAATATTTCCCATAGGAATCATCTTTGTATAATGTATAAGATAGACAAATTGGTCTTGCGGCGTATAATTCTGCATGATACAATTTAAAATCTAAAGACAGTTATACCATTTAATTATCCAATTTACTTATGAATTGTCCACATTAGATGCAAGAATCTGTAATATCGACCAAATATTAAAATTACATGTCATATCGTATCTTTTTATCCATCTGTTACGTAAATATTATGTAAATTTTTTATAGCAATATTTTTATATAAAACACTCTTTTTCTGTAATAAGATCATTATTTAAAAAAATATTAATCTCTAATACAAATAACACATATTTTATTATAGATCATGAAAGCTTCGGGATCATATTTGTCAGTATTGTTGGCCATGCAATGAACATCGTGCGTTTATAGATTTTTAAACAATAATCGAAGCATGTATCGTGTAATATGTCTACATTAGTGATAGAAACATGCATAACGACACAATATATTTTTCATGTTTGGATATATTGTAAAAAGACGATAGTAATTTTTAGAAAAATATAAAATGATAAGATGTTACATCTTGTTTACGTCACGATACATTTTAATTAAATCCAATATTTCCCATAGGAATCATCTTTGTATAATGTATAAGATAGACAAATTGGTCTTGCGGCGTATAATTCTGCATGATACAATTTAAAATCTAAAGACAGTTATACCATTTAATTATCCAATTTACTTATGAATTGTCCACATTAGATGCAAGAATCTGTAATATCGACCAAATATTAAAATTACATGTCATATCGTATCTTTTCTTTCAATTAATTTGCACGGATTACAGCAGGTCGTTTCACGCACTTTCACATTCAAATTTATGCACTTGTAATTTTCTTTTCATATTTTTCTCTAAAACACAAATATTTCGTTATAACACAAGTTTACTTTTAATTATTACAAGCAAAACAACGTAATACCACACTCAGTTGTGTATTCGTTCTTTCTGACTCTTTATTACCTATACTTTGATATTTCACTGAAAAGCCGCGAACACGACTGAGCATCGGACGTACATCGTTTCCACCACTGCACGAATCATTGCATATTTAAAGTAGACAATTTGCGATTGTATTTCCAGCAGTCGAGAAAAGGAAAAATGATTATATTTCCTTGTCATGCATCAAACCACAATGCGAAAAAGCACACTGTATTTGCGATATGTGCATGCAGTAGGATAAAAATAATTAATGAGAAACATCAATTACGTATGTGTATATGTGTGTGTGTGTATATGATCAATTGCTAATAGCTAAACCTCGAAGACCTCTTAGGGCGCAGAGTTTCTAATCCTCTTCGCGGAGATATTCTACGACATACGTAAAACTGTCATCAAAAACGTATACTTGAGCAGAGCATATTTCTTTTATCTTTCCGAGAATTTTTTTTCCGTTAAATATACACATCAATGGACTCGCTTGTACATAGAGAGCAGGCAGAAATAACAAAAAATGGCTCGGAAGAGTACGTTTAATCGCACATTGAAGTTTATGCTTACTTTGTGTGGTGTTTGGCCAGGCGTGCCGTACATAGTGCTTTGCAGAATATGTTGGATCATTACAGTGACATTTATTCTATTCTGTCACTATCGCTACTTTCTCACACATGTGTATTCTGCCGAACTTTTGGACTTGATGGACTGCATGTCTAGTTTCCTTGCATATTCCAAAGTGATTATTAAGTTTTTTGTGTTTTGGTTCCATCAGCAGTAAGTAACGTGATACAGTGAAACAATATTCCGCAAAAAAACAAATATCGATTAATGCGCGTTTATATTGACGGCACTAACACAGAGAAATTTTCTACCTGCAAAACTATAATTTTTTTAGAAAACCTATTTGTAGACTTATCCTTTTTTCTTAAAAATAGAAGACCATAAAACTTCAAAAAATTATACTCCTTTATACTCCTTGATTATGAAAAACGATACTCTTTTTATATACTTTTATGCGATTTAATAAACTTTAGATGAAACTTTCCTATAAAACAACTTCGAAAAAATGCGGTTATATAACATTCTTGATCATGTTGATACATTTTTGCGTTTCTACCAATAAAATGAATTATTTTTGATGGATAAAAATTGTCAAAAAAACTTGTTTATAATATTCAAAAATGACAAATTATTAAAGAGACGAATTTCCAAAATGCGAAAATTATAATTGCCTTGGCAATGCATGATCGACAAGTGCAATCACCCACAGAAAATTCGTCAAAATCTTGGCGATGATAAGAGAAGATTGGAATGATTGCGTTAACGATGACGTCATCAGTATGCGCGAGACAGTACGCAAAGCGAAAATATCGGATCGTATCACAAACGCGATCGTTACACTTCATACGACGACAATTGTGATGTATTGTATCGGCATCATTCTGGCCGATGCCGATGTCACCGATCGCACGACAGAACTACCCTTCATCAACAAGCTGGAAATACCCTTCAATATAAACACGCAGCGCATGTACAGATTCGTATTAATCACGGAATTCGTGCTTATGCTTTTTTACGGTTGGGCAGCTGGTATAACAAACTCTTTATTATTAACTTTGGTAAGTTGAATATACAGAAACAAACTACTTGAAACTATATATATTATATAAATTTATGATAATGCGTGGAATTTGATGAATAAACCTAAATTATAAATAAATTGATCAAATTTCATTGGATGTGTTCTAAAACCATGATAGATGCAAGAAATGGAAAATCTGATTTGTCCGAAACTTGCTATTTAGTTTGATAGTACTATTTTGCACGCTTTTTTTATTTTGCTGCATATCAACCGCTTATGAATCTTGATCGATTCCAATGGGATTTTATTTTCAGATCTTACATACGGCTGGTCAAATCGACATTATATGTTTCTGGCTGATGCAACTTACACCCCGCAAAGAGGAGAACAAACATGTATCATATCACATTATTACGAGTAAAATTATTCAAAAACATCAAAAAATCATCAATTTTTCAGAGAATATCGAAAGTCTTTATACATACATCGCGTTGCTGCAGTTTGTTTCAAATACAATAATGATATGCTCGATAGCCTTCGTTATCGTAACAGTGAGTAAGATTGTTGAATATAAAATTAATATAATTCTTCAAGTAATTATATGAATAATATATGATATTATAAAATATGTGTATGTGTATGAATTTGTTATTTTCATTGCACTTGATTCATCAAAATTTTATATTTTTATGGATATATTCCGTTCTCTCTCTCACATACTTTTTATTACATGTCATATGTACACGGTGTCAAAAAATTTTATACGATTTGTATTTAATTATTTCTCCGCATGATATTCGCAGGCTATCGGTAGTCCCAATGCGTCAGAACAGATATTAAAATCCCTCTTATTTTATATCATAACAAACCTCGAAGCGTTTATATTCTGCTTCGCTGGAGAGTATCTGAGCAGCAAGGTTAGCTACAAGATATTTACGACAATGATATAGAATTGATAAGTAGATGAGATTGTGTATTTTGTCTTATTAAAAAAGATATTATTAAAAAATTATTATAAAAGTTAAAAATATTAATGAATAATATTAATAAAATATTATCAAAATATTATTTATAAATTTCTAACAATTTCTTCATTAATATTATCTCTGTAGAGCAAGGAAATTGGCATTGCGGCGTACAACTCTGCATGGTACGATTTGAAATCTAAAGACAGTCGTGTTTTGTTATTTATCATATTAAGATCACAGAAGCAATTGACGCTTACAGTGGGAAAGATGATGGATCTCTCTTTAGAATCCTTCACAAGCGTAAGAGTTATGCATACATCTTTCATCCTAAAACTTAAAACATATATTTTTATTATAATAGCATAATTGTAGAGGCATTGATTTCTAATACAAAAGGTAAAATTGTTTCAGATTATGAATGCTTCGGGATCATACCTGTCGGTATTGTTGACTATGCAATAAACGTCAGATTGTTGATTTTTAAGTAATAGTTAAAGCATCGTGAGTTATTCGTATTATTAATTAAAATAAAAACACATTGTTGTAATGCAAGATATTTTTCCAAATACAGATGTAAAGTTGCCACAAAATCTGTTTTTTTTTTTTTTTGGTTGGATCAGCGATACACTGTTAACGTCATAAATAATTTTCGAAATATTCAAAGCATATCTGATTACATTTACAATTAATTTTCGTAATTAAAGAGGTATTGTTTGTTTTTGATTATCTAATTAATCTGTGAATCGTTTATTTTATTTGCGAGAAACCGTGCAAATCAAATTATATTAAAATTACGTAATATATTTTATCCTTTCTTGCAATTATTGTTGATTTATATGGATATATAGAAAATTGTTCTACACACACTTTCATACACAAATTCTTATATTTATATATTTCTCGTTGTTAAAATATTACTTTAACGCTATAATATCGCTATAACCATTGTTGTAATATACACAAGCCCGCTTTTAACTGTTATAAGCAGAGCAATATTTCGTAGTGTTGCAATCAGCTATTTATGTATCTTCCAGCTGTTCATTCCCTATACCATACTACTTTCCTGTCACAGACACGCCTAAGCGTCAGATGGACATCACCCCACGAATCATTGCATATTTAAGTAGATAATTCACAGTTATACTTCAAGAAAAAGGAAAAATAATTACCTATCTTCCCTTTTCATGTAAACTTGCGAAAAACCACGATGTATCTGCGATATACACGCAATATGACAAAAATAATTAATGAGAAACTTCCATTAGTCAGACTTATGTCAGACTATACGATCTGTTTAATAATGTTTCAGGATCTTCCAGTCTTACGCAGGTGTTATATATCTCAAAATATAATTGATCGGAGCATATTTCTTTCCAAGAGAATTCCTTTTTCTTTTTTATCTGTTGCATATTCTGATAGATCTTAAAACGGGCTAAAGCGAATTATGATTTAACAGAGTACGTGCAATCGCACGGTGAAATTTATGCTCACTGTGTGGCATCTGATCAGGCGCATCATGCGTTCTGTTCTATAGAATGTTTTGGATTATTACAATGACGATTGCTCTATTATGAAACTACTCTTATTTACTGACGCATGTGTTTATAGATGCGCCGAACTTATAGATTTGATCGATTGTCTGTGTACCATCCTAGCGCATTCCAAAGTGATTATTAAGTGTATTGTGTTTTAGTTAAATCAACGGTAAGTAATATGATGTAATGTACAATATTAAAAACTCTCTGCGAATATACTGCACTTATTATATTCCGCTAATGGTATCCCAATGAAAAATATTACCAAAAAGTAAACCGTAATTTTTCAAGAGATTTATTTGTACGGTATGATTTGCTTTCTGAAAATAAAGCGCGCTGCAAAATTCCAAAATTAAATTTAAATTAATACATAAAATGCAATCGTTTTTATGTTTACGATCCGACTTCAACTTCGAATGGAATATTTAGATGAAATAGAAAGTAGTTTAACTTAAAAATGTTATAAATGTTGTTATAATATTTTTCATGAATATTGTTATTACAAATAATAAATAATCATTTGCAAAACATTCATTGAAATCCTGACGATAATAATGGAAAATTGGAGTGATCGCGCTGATAACGATATCAGCATGCGCGAGACATCGAAGAAAGCGAAAATATCGGATCGTCTCGTAAACGCGATCATCATTCTTCACACGGTGACGATTATTGCATCGGCATCTTTTTTGCCGATGTCGATGTCATCGACCACACGACGGAGTTACTTTTCATGAGCAAATTAAAATTCTCTTTCGCATAAACACGCAATGTACAGATTAATATTGATCGTGCAATTCTTGGTCATGTGCGCCTGAGCGACTGGTATAACAAACGTTCTGTTATTGACTTTGGTAAGTTACGATAATACGCAAACCGATACATTCACGAGGTTGTGCGCATGATTCGAATGATAATCGTGGGATTAGTCGACGTAGCGACTAATCGTTGTATGCGTTTTGCAATCATAATGTGATACAGAAATTGAAACCTCAGATATACGTTATCATATTTACTATTTCAGGAGCATTTTGATATCATCTTTCCAGTTTTTCCTGCATGGTTTTTTTTGTAATAAGCATTCACTATTGAATATCTGGCCGATTCCACGAAAAGGCAACGCAATCCTCATTTTCAGATCCTGCATGCAGCTGGCCAAATCGATATCTTGCGTTACTGGTTAACGCAGTTGGCGTCCCGCGAAAACAAATCAATCGCCATCATAATGAAAAAAATTATACGAAAGTATCAAAAAATCGTCAATTTTTCGAAAAACATCAAATGTCTTTATATATACATCGCGTTGCTGCAATTTATGTCAAACACAATAATGATTCGTTCGCTTGGCTTTCTTATTATAGCAGTGAGTAATATTATTGAATATACAATTATTGTAATTGTGTTCGTTTAATTGCGAGACTTATAATTAAATGTAAATTTTCTTTTAAATTTTCTCTCTATTGCGTTTTCAAAAAATTAAACGTTATTCAATTTATTTAAATATTGTATTCCCGAGAATTTCGTTATCTTTCATTATCGTGCAGTACGCTGTATAGTTTGTGTTCAATAACTTTCTGCATGCCATTTTTGCACAATATTGCAAGCAATCGACAGTCCTAATGCGATGGAGCAAATAATGAAATCCCTCTTATTTTACACTATAACAAACTTGGAAGCGATTATATTTTGCTATGCTGGAGGATATCTAAGCAATAAGGTTTTTACGAAATAATTATTATAACAATAGAATGAGCAATTAATATTATATTAGATGATTTTAAGTATTTTGTATAAAAAATATAAAGTAAAAAAATGTTAGAAATATATATCTATTATTTTCACTTTTGTAGGCCAAAATCATCGGAGTTGCAACATATAATTGTCTATGGTACAATTTAAGATCTAAATATATTCGTGTATTGTTAATCATAATATTAAGATCTCAGAAGCAATTGACACTCACAGCTGGCAACATGATGGATCTTTCCTTAGAATCCTTTACAAGCGTAAGATTGCATACAAAATCAATAATTTTTGTCGACGACTCTGCAGTTCATATTTGATTATACGCAATTGAAGAAAATTGTCTATATCAAGTTTTGACGTATTAGATTTTTTAATATAGCTTTTTATATATATGCACCCCTTTTTGCTAATATTTTATCTATATAAATATTTACTTCTAATACAAATAATATTATTATAGATCATGAATGCTTCGGAGTCCTACTTGTCAGTATTGTTGGCGATGCAATGAATATCATATTCACCTCGGGAGCTCTTAATCAATAGCCATGAAGCATATATACAGAGTGATATGTAAGTATGTGTTCACTAGTTACGCCAACACATGCACGTAACATCTCTCTCGCACTTATTTTTCCAAATATATTCCTTCTCTGAGAAAAAAAGTTGCAAAACGATACCATATCATATCCTATATTTCTTATAGAAATAAAAATCGTGAATCCTTCGTCAAATCAAATTAGCAATGTAAGAACACATTATATATGCATAAGAGAATACATAAGCGATTCGCGATATTGCACGACCATTTCTCTTTTTTTCCGTTCTCTAAACTTCAAAATGTGTTTCTAAAGCTTACAGAAAAAACGCCTTGCAATCGAACAATGTATATCATAAGAAACACGAAATCAATAACATCAACGCATCGGCTCTGCCACCATTGTTTTTTACGTTATATTATCGTCCATTTATGGAGGGAGAGCGATTTCTACGGAAAGCTCTGATCGTGATAAGAGAAAATCGGAGACATCTTCTCGTGCAGGAAAGAATATACATTTCCCTCTGTACGAATCATTACATATTTAACGCACGCTTCACGAGTGTATTATTAAGTACATTGTAGTAATCGCAGTGAGCAAAAAATATATTTTACCTATCCTTTTTTCTCTCAAATTTGCAAGGGAATATGACAGTTGTATTAGAGACTTACACGCATAATAAAGATATTTCATGAGCAACTCCTATTGGTCAATTACTCGAGGGAGCATCTGTTTGATGGCCTTCCATGGCCAGTCTTCACGCAAATATCCAATGATACACACTGTGCTGTCATCGAAAGATATATTCGCGGCAACAGCGTACCTTCCTTCCATTTTCTCGAGAATATTATAATTCTGTTACATATTTCCTAGTGTGCTTGGAATATAAGCGAGTGCAAAGATAAATATGACTATGACTCGTAAAAATACGATTAATCGCATAATAATGTTTATGCTACCTTTGTACGGTATCTGGCCAGGCAGATCAATCACTTTAATTAACAGGGTGTTTTGGATCATCTCAACAGTATTTGTCGAATTTTGTCATTATCTCTATATTTCAACGCACTTTAATCCTGAAAATTTTTTCAATTTAGTGGATTGTTTGTGCAGCGTTTTGGCACACGCCAAAGTGTTCACTAAACTCGTTGCGTTTTGGATAAATCAGCGGTAAGTAAAGAAAACAGATGACATTTCGTGGACAATTCGTAAAGATTTTTAATTAGAAATAATTTTCGTTGCCATCGCTTATTGGTTGACAAATTTAATTACATTATCAAGTAATTATGTAAATAAATATCAAATCAAAATCATAAAGTAGTTGAATAAACTATCTTTCTTTGCACTTGTCCATTTATATAATTTTCGATACATTTACTACTGTTTCGTTTCGAGAAAAAAAATTATAGGAAACTATAGAAACATGCATGAGAAAATTTTATTTGAAAGAAAGTTGCGCCAACGCTATTCTCTATCAGTCAGAGACGACGTGTTTCTAGAGATCTATCTACAGTTTTATTTGACTCTGACAGCATGATCGAGTAATTCAATCATCCACAGAAAACTCGTGGAAATTGTGACGTTAATTACGGACGACTGGAATGATTGTGCTGACAATGACATCAGCATGCGCCTGACGATGCGTAAGGCAAAAATATCGGATCGTATCACCTATGGAATATTTACAATTCATGCGCTAACCGTTATCGGGTATTGTCTCGAAATCATCATCGCTGATACCGATGTTACCGATCAAACGATTGAAATTCCTTTGCTTAACAAAGTGAAACTTCCTTTCACCATTAAGACGCAGGGCATGTATAGATTTATATTAATCGCGGAATTCTTGCACATGTTCTTCAGTAATGTGTTAATCGCTATTGTAAACAACATACTTTTGGCTTCGGTAAGTTGCAACTGTGTAAGCAGCTATGAAAAACAACATATAAAATTATAATAATAATAATAAATTGCATGACTTGCTTTTTCTTTTTTTTCCGTTCTCTAAACTTCGAAATGTGTTTCCAAAGCTTACTGAAAAAGCGTCTTGCAATCGAACATATTCATCATATCTGTATACATGAATCATTGCATATTTAAAGCGAGCAATTTGCAAACATCGAGACGAAATGACAGCCCTCACCCGTCACAAACACATAAACACATTTGTTCCCTTGCATTTACTAAAATTTTCAGAATCCATAATAAATGCGTGATTTGTACGCAATATTGTAAAAATATTTAAAAAGATCACTGAGCGAAATAATCTACAATATCATCGTATTATATATTCATATTTCATTCCGTGAAAGAATACCCTCGCTTTGCATATATGTCTAACTGTAAAATAAAAGTTGATTAAGCATTTCACATGCATATATATTAATATTATTTTAATATAATTATTTCTGCAAACACGTGAAGATGCAGAAAAAAATAATATTATTAAATTAATAATATTTATATTATACATATATATTTAAATCAATATATTTTTACGAGCCTTAAAATTTTATCTCGGCGTTACTATTGCTCAAATCAATATCATGTATACCATAAGAAACACGAAATCAATAACACCAACGCATCGACATTGCCGCTGTTGTTTTTTACGTTATATTATCGTCCATTTATGGAGGGAGAGCGATTTCTACGGAAAGCTCTGATCGTGATAAGAGAAAATCGGAGACATCTTCTCGTGCAGGAAAGAATATACATTTCCCTCTGTACGAATCATTACATATTTAACGCACGCTTCACGAGTGTATTATTAAGTACATTGTAGTAATCGCAGTGAGCAAAAAATATATTTTACCTATCCTTTTTTCTCTCAAATTTGCAAGGGAATATGACAGTTGTATTAGAGACTTACACGCATAATAAAGATATTTCATGAGCAACTCCTATTGGTCAATTACTCGAGGGAGCATCTGTTTGATGGCCTTCCATGGCCAGTCTTCACGCAAATATCCAATGATACACACTGTGCTGTCATCGAAAGATATATTCGCGGCAACAGCGTACCTTCCTTCCATTTTCTCGAGAATATTATAATTCTGTTACATATTTCCTAGTGTGCTTGGAATATAAGCGAGTGCAAAGATAAATATGACTATGACTCGTAAAAATACGATTAATCGCATAATAATGTTTATGCTACCTTTGTACGGTATCTGGCCAGGCAGATCAATCACTTTAATTAACAGGGTGTTATGGCTCACTTCAACATCATTTGTCGAAATTTGTCATTGTCTTTATATTATATCGCACTTTAATCCTGAAAATTTTTCAAACATATTGGATTGTTTGTGCAGCGTTTTGGAACACGGTAAAATGTTCACTAAACTCGTTGTGTTTTGGATAAATCAGCGGTAAGTAAAGAAAACAGATGACATTTCGTGGACAATTCGTAAAGATTTTTAATTAGAAATAATTTTCGTTGCCATCGCTTATTGGTTGACAAATTTAATTACATTATCAAGTAATTATGTAAATAAATATCAAATCAAAATCATAAAGTAGTTGAATAAACTATCTTTCTTTGCACTTGTCCATTTATATAATTTTCGATACATTTACTACTGTTTCGTTTCGAGAAAAAAAATTATAGGAAACTATAGAAACATGCATGAGAAAATTTTATTTGAAAGAAAGTTGCGCCAACGCTATTCTCTATCAGTCAGAAACGACGTGTTTCTAGAGATCTATCTACGGTTTTATTTGACTCTGACAGCATGATCGAGTAATTCAATCATCCACAGAAAACTCGTGGAAATTGTGACGTTAATTACGGACGACTGGAATGATTGTGCTGACAATGACATCAGCATGCGCCTGACGATGCGTAAGGCAAAAATATCGGATCGTATCACCTATGGAATATTTACAATTCATGCGCTAACCGTTATCGGGTATTGTCTCGAAATCATCATCGCTGATACCGATGTTACCGATCAAACGATTGAAATTCCTTTGCTTAACAAAGTGAAACTTCCTTTCACCATTAAGACGCAGGGCATGTATAGATTTATATTAATCGCGGAATTCTTGCACATGTTCTTCAGTAATGTGTTAATCGCTATTGTAAACAACATACTTTTGGCTTCGGTAAGTTGCAACTGTGTAAGCAGCTATGAAAAACAACATATAAAATTATAATAATAATAATAATAAATAATTAAACTTGTTTTAAAATATAATATGCAATAATAGAACATCTTTTAAAATATAATGTGGAATAATATACCCAAATTATATTCTAATATGTCGAAAAAACATAACTAGAAAAACAAATTTTGCAAATTATATTCGAGTCTAATCATTTTCATAAGGTTTTGCATATGGGAGGCCAAGTGGAGATCCTACAAAGCTGGTTATCGCAGCTTACATCCAAAGAGATTGGAAATAAGAAAAAATCATTCATCACCGAGACAAGTAAAATCATTCGGAAGCATAACAAAATTATTCAATTTTCAGAAAATATCGAGACTCTATATACATACATCGCGCTGTACCTATTCGTATCGAATATAATATTAATTTGTTCGATAGCTTTTCTCATTGTAACTGTGAGTACAGTAGTCGAGAATACTACAGACAAAAAATTCTTTATCTATCATAAAAATTGTTTTTCGGTTTATTAAACATTATGCAAATAATATGCACATTAATTATGATTACTACATATCTTCTTAATTATTTCAGGCAATTGGTACTCCTGATGCCGTAAAACAGATTATAAAATGTATTTTTTTTTTCTTAATTTCAAATCTGGAAGCGTTTACATTTTGCTACGCTGGAGAATATCTAAGCAATAAGGTTTTTGCGAGATAATTATTTTAATAGAATGCGCAATTAATTATTAGATAATTTTATCTACTTTGTATTAAAAACGTAAGATAAAAATTGTAATGTTAGAAATATATACATTACTTTCACTTTTTAAGGGCGAAACCATCGGATTTACAACGTATAATTATCCATGGTACAATTTGAGACCTAAAGATATTCGTATTTTGTTATTTATAATAATAAGATCGCAGAAGCAATTGATACTCACAGCTGGCAAGATGATGGATCTCTCCTTAAAATCCTTTACAAGCGTAAGATTTTATGCGGAATCAATAGTTTTTATCTGTGGCTCTATCGCTCACGTTTGTTTATACGCAATTAAATTAAATCGTCTACATCAAGTTTTGATGTACTTGATATTTCAATGCAATGTTTTATACGTGCGCTTTTTTTTTAATATTCTATCTATAATAATATTAACTTCTAATATTAATAATATTGTTATAGCTCATGAATGCTTCTGGATCCTTCTTGTCACTATTGTTGGCGATGCAATGAACATCGTATTCCCCTCAGGAGTTTTTAATCAATAGTCGTGAAGCACATATACAGGTGATATGTAAACATGTGTCCACTAGTTACGTCAATGCATATATGTAATATCTCGCACTTTTTTTTCCAAATATATTTTTTTTCTGAGAAAGAAGATACTTCACAGAATAACATATAAAACTAGAGCAAATTAAACCATTGCAATACAAAACAATACTATAACATATCCTACAATTTCTTATACAGAAAGAAAAATCGTGAATCTTTTCTCAAGTCGAATTAGCAATGTACAAACACATATGTATAAGAGAATATATAAAAGATTCACAGTATTGCATGACTTGCTTTTTCTTTTTTTTTCCGTTCTCTAAACTTCGAAATGTGTTTCCAAAGCTTACTGAAAAAGCGTCTTGCAATCGAACATATTCATCATATCTGTATACATGAATCATTGCATATTTAAAGCGAGCAATTTGCAAACATCGAGACGAAATGACAGCCCTCACCCGTCACAAACACATAAACACATTTGTTCCCTTGCATTTACTAAAATTTTCAGAATCCATAATAAATGCGTGATTTGTACGCAATATTGTAAAAATATTTAAAAAGATCACTGAGCGAAATAATCTACAATATCATCGTATTATATATTCATATTTCATTCCGTGAAAGAATACCCTCGCTTTGCATATATGTCTAACTGTAAAATAAAAGTTGATTAAGCACTTCACACGCATATATATTAATATTATTTTAATATAATTATTTCTGCAAACACGTGAAGATGCAGAAAAAAATAATATTATTAAATTAATAATATTTATATTATACATATATATTTAAATCAATATATTTTTACGAGCCTTAAAATTTTATCTCGGCGTTACTATTGCTCAAATCAATATCATGTATACCATAAGAAACACGAAATCAATAACACCAACGCATCGACATTGCCGCCGTTGTTTTTTACGTTATATTATCGTCCTTTTATGAGGGGAGAGCTGAAAAAGCGTCTTGCAATCGAACATATTCATCATATCTGTATACATGAATCATTGCATATTTAAAGCGAGCAATTTGCAAACATCGAGACGAAATGACAGCCCTCACCCGTCACAAACACATAAACACATTTGTTCCCTTGCATTTACTAAAATTTTCAGAATCCATAATAAATGCGTGATTTGTACGCAATATTGTAAAAATATTTAAAAAGATCACTGAGCGAAATAATCTACAATATCATCGTATTATATATTCATATTTCATTCCGTGAAAGAATACCCTCGCTTTGCATATATGTCTAACTGTAAAATAAAAGTTGATTAAGCATTTCACATGCATATATATTAATATTATTTTAATATAATTATTTCTGCAAACACGTGAAGATGCAGAAAAAAATAATATTATTAAATTAATAATATTTATATTATACATATATATTTAAATCAATATATTTTTACGAGCCTTAAAATTTTATCTCGGCGTTACTATTGCTCAAATCAATATCATGTATAACATAAGAAACACGAAATCAATAACACCAACGCATCGACATTGCCGCCGTTGTTTTTTACGTTATATTATCGTCCTTTTATGAGGGGAGAACGATTTCTACGGAAGGCTCTGATCGTGACAAAAAAAAAATCGGAGACATCTTCTCGTGCAGGAAAGAATATACATTTCCCTCCGTACGAATCATTACATATTTAATGTACGGTTCGAGTGTATTACTAACAATAAGTACATTGTAGTAATCGCAGTGAGCAAAAAATATATTTTACCTATCCTTTTTTCTCTCAAATTTGCAAGGGAATATGACAGTTGTATTAGAGACTTACACGCATAATAAAGATATTTCATGAGCAACTCCTATTGGTCAATTACTCGAGGGAGCATCTGTTTGATGGCCTTCCATGGCCAGTCTTCACGCAAATATCCAATGATACACACTGTGCTGTCATCGAAAAATATATTCGCGGCGACAGCGTACCTTCCTTCCATTTTCTCGAGAGTATTATAATTCTGTTACATATTTCCTAGTGTGCTTGGAATATAAGCGAGTGCAAAGATAAATATGACTATGACTCGTAAAAATACGATTAATCGCATAATAATGTTTATGCTACCTTTGTACGGTATCTGGCCAGGCAGATCAATCACTTTAATTAACAGGGTGTTTTGGATCATCTCAACAGTATTTGTCGAATTTTGTCATTATCTCTATATTTCAACGCACTTTAATCCTGAAAATTTTTTCAATTTAGTGGATTGTTTGTGCAGCGTTTTGGCACACGCCAAAGTGTTCACTAAACTCGTTGCGTTTTGGATAAATCAGCGGTAAGTAAAGAAAACAGGTGACATTTCGTGAACAATTCGTATAGATTATTAATTAGAAATAATTTCCGTTGCCATCGCTTATTGGTTGACAAATTTAATTACACTATCAAGTAATAAGGTAAATAAATATCAAATCAAAATCACACTCAAAGAAGTTGATTGAACTATCTTTTTTTGCAATTATCCTTTTATACAATCTTCGATACACCTACTGCTGTTTCGTTCCGAGAAAAAAAAATTATAAGAAACTACAGAAACATGCATGATAAAATTTTGTTCGAGAGCAAGCGGCGCCAACGCTATTCTCTATCAGGCAGAAGCGACGTGTTTCTAGAGATACAACTATCTACGGTTTTTATTTGACTCCGACAGTATGATCAAGGAACTCGATCATCCACAGAAAATTCATGGAAATTTTGGCATTAATTACGGACGATTGGAACGATTGCGCTGACAGTGACATCAGCATGCGCCTGACGATGCGTAAGGCAAAATTATCGGATCGTATCACCTATGGAATACTTACTCTTCATACGATGAGTATTGTCGGGTATTGTCTCGGAATCATCATCGCTGATGCCGATGTTACCGATCAAACGATTGAAGTTCCTTTCGTCAACAAATTGAAACTTCCTTTCACCATTAAGACGCAGGGCATGTATAGATTTATATTAATCGCGGAATTCGTGCACATGATCTTCAGTAATGTGCTAAACGGTATTGTAAACAACATGCTTTTGACTTTGGTAAGTTGCAACTGTGTAAGCAGCTATGAAAAACAACATATAAAATTACAATAATAATAATAAATAATTAAACTTGTTTTAAAATATAATATGCAATAATAGAACATCTTTTAAAATATAAAGTGGAATAATATACCGAAATTATATTCTAATATGTCAAAGAAACATAATTCGAAAAACAAATGTTACAAATTATATTCGAGTCTAATCATTTTCATAAGGTTTTGCATGTGGGAGGCCAAGTGGAGATCCTACATAGCTGGTTATCGCAGCTTATACCCAAAGAAATTGGAAATAAGGAAGAATCACTCGTCATCGCGAGAAACAAAATCATTCAAAAGCATAACAAAATTATCCAATTTTCAGAAAATATCGATAGCCTATATGCATACATCGCGCTGTTCCTATTCGCATCGAATATGATATTAATTTGTTTGATAGCCTTTCTCATCGTAACCGTGAGTAAATTAGTCGAGAATACTACGGACAGAAAATTCATTATCTACTACAAAAATTGTTTTTCGGTTCTTTAAACATTATACAAATAATATGCGCATTAATTATCATTACTACATATCTTCTTAATTATTTCAGGCAATTGGTACTCCTGATGCCGTGAAACAAATTATGAAATGTATTTTATTTTTCTCAGATACAAATCTGGAAGCGTTTATATTTTGTTACGCTGGAGAATATTTAAGCAATAAGGTTTTTGCGAGATAATTATTTTAATAGAATGCGCAATAAACATGATTAGATCATTTTATTTACTTTGTATGAAAAATGTAAGATAAAAAAATGTAATGTTGGAAATATGTACATTACTTTCACTTTTTTTAAGGGCGAAACCATCGGATTTGCAACGTATAATTGTCCATGGTATAATTTGAGACCTAAAGATATTCGTATTTTGTTATTTATAATAATAAGATCGCAGAAGCAATTGATACTCACAGCTGGCAAGATGATGGATCTCTCCTTAAAATCCTTTTCAAGCGTAAGATTTTATGCGGAATCAATAATTTTTGTCTGTGGCTCTATCGCTCACGTTTGTTTATACGCAGTTAAATTAAATCGTCTACATCAAGTTTTGATGTACTTGATATTTCAATGCAATGTTTTATACGTGCGCTTTTTTTCTAATATTCTATCTATAATAATATTAACTTCTAATACTAATAATATTGTTATAGCTCATGAATGCTTCTGGATCCTTCTTGTCAGTGTTGTTGGCGATGCAATGAACATCGTATTCACCTCAGGAGTTTTTAATCAATAGTCGTGAAGCACATATATAGGGTGACATGTAAACATGTATTCACTAGTTATGCCAACACATATATGTAGTATCGCACTTATTTTTATATCATATATTTTTTCTCTGAGAAAGAAGATATTTCATAGAACATATAAAACTATAGCGAATTAAACCGTTGTAATGCAAAACAGTACCAACTCAAATCCCACAATTTCCTCCACAAAGAAAAATTGTAAATCTTTTCTTAGATTAAATTAGCAATGTAAGAACACATTGCGTTTATTATGCGCAGGAATATAAGTAAATAATTAGATGTATTGCACGATTTGCTCTTTTCCATTCTTTCTTTTTCGGTTCCAACCTTTAAAATGTTTCCAAACATTCAACTCACTGAGTGCAACTTGCAATTGAATATATCCATCATATCTCCAAACCTGAATCATTGCATATTTAAAGCGAGCAATTTGCGAACGTCATGGAAATGATTCTCCTCCCCTCTGTCACATACACATGTTTTCATTTTCAAAACTCTAACCCACGACAGATGTATCTTGCGTGATCTGCACGCAATATGGTAAAAATATTTAATGAAAAGCTTCTCCATTGGTCGATAGTCTAGAGGTACAATGATCTCTTGGGATCGCCTAATCTTTACGCGGCAATTCTGTGATATATATCTCTCAATTTGTCGTTAGGCTACACATTCGGCGGAAGTACATTTTCTATTTTACCAACAGCATTTGTTACATTTATATAGTTTTCATGCATTCATTCGTATAGAAAGAGAGAAATAAGAAAAAAATTATGATCCATAAGAATACGATTAATCGCATAATAAAAGTTATGTTTATTTTGTTCGAAATTTGGCAGGTACTTCGTGCATCCTACTTTGCAGAATATTTTGGATTATTACAATAATATTTGTTCAATTCTATCATTACCGATATCTTATAACGCATTTCTATTCCAACGATCTTTTTAATTTGATGGACTGTTTAAGTAGTTTTCTAGCGTATACAAAAGTGATGACCAAGTTTATTGTATTTTGGTTGCATGAGCGGTAAGTAATACGATCTATATACAAATAACAATATATAAATATATTTTATAAT